TCCCCTTTGCGATCCCCATCAGATCCCCATCAGATCCCCATCAGATATAATATTATTATCAATTATTACTATCGTCATCATCATCATCATCATCATCATTGTTATTATTATTATTACTAGTAGCAGTAGTATTATTAAACAAAAATTTAAAGAAACTGGAAAAAGCATAAAACCGAAATTGAACCACAGTATCGCATTTCTATCTTAAAAGACCTGGCCTGAGATTTATGCATTTAATTTTTTTAAAAATCACGCTTAGGCCTATGTGTTCTATTGGCCTATGTATAACGTGTACTGATGCATATTTACATAATAATAATAACAATAATAATAATAATAATAATAATAATAATAATAATAATAATGATGATGATGATGATGATGATGATGATGATGATGATGATGATGATGATGATGATGATGATGATAATAATAATAATGTAGTTTTATATAGCGCACATATCCCGGTCTAATGTGAGATGCTCAGGGTGCTTGATATGTGGACTAATACATGTTTTAGAAGTATTCATTTTGAGTGATCCCAGACGACCCCGTTTTGCCAATACATTTTTAAATATCAATAATTTAAAAAAGAATAGAATACAATAGAAGGCCTCCTTTGGGACGTCCCTATAAATTATGTAATTAAGGGGATACTTGTCGGTGAGACGAGGGGCAAACGTTTAACTCTACAGCCAACCCCTTAAGTCAATTAAAATAAAATTACAAAGAATCATTATCATCATTATACGAAAACATGCCAAAAACCCCTATAAAGGTGACTATTTCACGTTTTTCGTTATTTTCCCCTGAATAGGGGTACTAATATTCAGGGGACACTTTTTTGGTCCCAAAAGTGTCCCCTTAATATACTGGGGTTCTACTGTACTACAAAAAGTTACAATGGCAACCAGCCCCTTCTTCGTTATTCTTTCAACTCTATTTCAGACTCAATATGTGGTCCCTAGCAGGGCCTATACAAAATAAACGTATAAATAAAGAATGAGATGACAATATGAGCGTCATCAGGATAACATTAAAGATCATTCATTCCATTTTAAGCTGAGGATGAACAAAATTTAGCTACTAGTGAAGTGGATACGATAAGAAGAAGACTTACAAATATATACATAGCATTTATATTATAATCAAAATACACACATACACAGACCATGTTATGTATGAAATGGTGACAAATAATGGAATATTCACAAATGGACGTCATTTTAGCACCCTACAAAGCCAAAAGGTTTTTTTTTGGAAGGACTATATTTTTGCTTTCGGGTCCGGTAAACATACTAAAATAATCATATGAAGTTTTATATCAGTCTCTAGCTGATAAAATTTACTCCAAGAATCCGTGTGCACCGTTTCAAACAATAGAACTGTTTGGGAGGTAGAGTGAGAGAAACAAGTTTGAAACCGTCAAAAACAGCAAATTTCTTGTAATTTCCTAAAACAGGAGAGGAGGTGTCATAAAGCGGTCACGGTCCTGTAAACTACAGGCCTACAACAAATTTGCTATTTTTTTAAACAGTTTGTTAGAGAAATGATTTCCAAAACATAATCCACTTGCACCGTTAATTGGAAATCATAACTATTGGTAAAACGTAAGCCTTATAATTTTCTAACAAAAATGACCATTTTCTCCAATGGTTAGAGGGGAAAAATGTAACCCTGGTACCAAATAAGACAACCTTTCCAGTATATAACTAAAGATTATTCAATTTCCTTAATTTTGATACAATCAATATCTGTTTGTTGACTAAGATATCAGTTTGTTATGCCACTGTCGCGCTACATACATATTTTAATATTAGGTGTCCTCACCTCCGTTAAAAAAGGACTGATCTGCCCCTGCCGTTTTCGGCTCTGTGTAATACAACATAAGATCTCGAATAAAAAATATTATGACCATTAGGAGGATTACTCACTATATCAAGTTAAAATTGGGCCCCCAACCCGGGCGAATCAGGTGAGAATAGTTAAGGCCACATGGGTGGGGCGGACCATGTCGCACCCATATGTTTGTTTTATTTGTTTTAGTTCGTTTAAATTTTTTAATTTTTAAAAATGAAACAAACATTTTGACATGCTTTTATCATGTAAAAACATGTTTTAACCGAACAGTCTAAACAGAAATAGGCTCTAATAATCCCAACAACAAAAACACGGTATATGAATGCCGTACTGTATTACCGTAGTTATTCGATTAAATCACCGCTTTTATTAATAACACCCCCACCCCCGCGTTTATTTGTATATGTATACGTATCCATTTTATACCAAAAAAAACAAAAAAAAACGCCTCCCTACGGTTTAGTGTGAGTGTGAAAGTGAAGGTATGGTGAACATAACGGCGTTAAAAAAAAAAGACAACGGGTGTTTTCATTATGGGCCTGATGGCTAACATGAAGAGGGAGAACGGACTAGACTCAAAACCTGAAAATATCATAAGGCATGAGGGCGCTACTTAGTGTTTTGGAATTCCTTGTTATCTTTTTTTTAAATAAAAGCATGTACATAATCGATCGCGGCATGAATGAAATTGGTTGATAAATACAACAGCTGTGTTTAGTGGTCGGACGTATTGGACACGTCGCATCTCAACACTGAACTTGGTCTCCTAGCTAACAGACTAGGTAAGTAAAAACAAAATATTCCCTGATAACACACATTGTCATCTTATTCAATCTTAGCCTTAGGTTAGGAGACCAGCCTCCGACACACCCCCGGTTTATCACCATGAGTGCGTATACCTGCCTAGTAACTGTTACGATGTTTATTTACTGACCTTACATTGTAAGCTGCTCAGGAACTTACTGTGCGACCTTTTCTTAAATTAAACCACGACCTTAGACTTATACAAGAGGAGGCTGTGATTTGCAACGCTCGGCCAGACTCAAGGACTTTTTTATTGTACGGTATTTTTAAATATTATTTTTCACAATTGATGGTGAAGGCTACGGAGGATTGGCGTTCCTTTGTTCCCAGACAGCTTTGTCATTGGTTATTAAAAAAAAAATAGATGCCTTTAAAGATTGTTTATTTTTTTTTTGTGGGGGGGGGGGCATGTATGTAGGCCTATCCTATATCACCAAGATAAATTTTATAAAATCAATTGGAATTTTATTAATCTTTCTTTTTCTATACCCACTGATATTTTGATATAAGTTTAAAAGAAATTTAGGCCTGTAGATAGATCAGCATCAGCAGAGATCCAGAGAAAAATCTGGGAGGGGCCATTTGCCATGCGAATCACTGTGCCTGAATTGGTAGTCCATTGGAAAATAAAACTTATAGAGGTAACATTGAAACATGATTTCAATGTTTTCTATCTTTTTTTTCTGTACCCTCTCAATTAATAAATAAATTAGCTTGGTCATGGTTTAGTGGTTAAGAAGCCAGGCTAGTTACCTGGAGGTTTGTGGGTTTGGTTCCCACCCAAATTATTTGCAAGATTTTTTTCTTAATTATTTGGGAATGTACAAGTATTCATTACGATTTACACATCAGGTAGGACAAAAGATAACTCCATAAAGTGATTAAAAAACATTCATAAAATAAACAAGGGTATAATTTAAATCCCACACAACTTAGGTTGATCAAGTTTCTCAAGACAGTTTAATACAAGTTTATGCCACGACATCTTTCAATGGCTCAATTTTCATATCAAGTGAGAGTCACATATACTGAACACTAGCAAAGGAGTAATGTAGTTTAATATTAGGTTTATAGATGGTAAATAAGTCAAATTTAACCCATACCATTGATAAGTTAATTATCATTTATTGAACTCATAATTGCATTTATAGATTCAGTAATACTAGATTGAAAATGAAATAATTTTTCGGATATAGATTTCACACAAAATTGCAAAATATGAATTGTCAAATGGTCAACTTAACTCACTGTGCATAGAGTTGGCACATAAGAGGTATGGAGTTTTATTTGTGGTTTAATATTGAAGGCATGAATGAGGTGGAGGTTTACAGGGGTGGATCCAGAGATGTCCAAAAAGGGGGCCGGAAGGGGTCCGAAAGTTGGGCCGATTGAGATAACAATACCTGAGGGTCTGGGGGCATGGCCCTGTGAAACCTCTGTGTTTTAGACGCCCGAAAATAACCTCTGAGGTCTTTTGGGCGAACAATTTTTTCTTTTTCTTACTTTCTTTCTTTGACTCTCTGAAAGGGTGGGGTGGGGGGGCAGAAGGCCCCCGGTCCCCCTAAATTCGCCTCTGGTTTAATCGTGGTACATTTGAAAATAAAAAAAAAAATGTTATATACACTGTTAATATTCATTATGGCAAGGTGATCTACTTTATTTAGCTGGTGGATATTTTTTCTAGACAGGTCATCTTACAACATATTTTTTGCAAGCATCTTTATTCAGGGTGTAACCATTTAGTGACTAGCACTTCTTTTCAAGGAAGCCTGGTTCATCTCATCTTAATTTCCCTCATAGCAGTGACGGTTTCTTTTCTGTAAAATTTGGTTGTAACAAAACATGCTGCCTTGTTTAAATGTTCAGCCTCAATTAAATATGCATACAGTACTTACTGTTGTAAACACCATATGCCAACAATTCTTTCCAGATGACTAATGTAAATTGGACCTCAGTTTTCTCCAGTCAGTCCGACAATATTCTGATTCCAGAACTCAATAATTGATAGTAGCTTCACAAAAAAAAAATGAAAATTTGGAATTTCCAGGTTACAGATATGTCTGTTCAAACTTCACCTGATTTAAACCCAACCCACTTCATTTTTGTCCAATCAGACAAGCAATCTAGTGATTGACATTTTAGCATTGTGGAGAATTACGGAGGTGATATTTTCCCAGAAGAGCAATATTGCACTACCAGTGGCAAATCCCGGAATTCAAAATTTAATTGACCATTTTTACTGTGAACTGTTCAGAATTGATTGTACTAATCACAATACTAACAAAAGCTTTAAAAAAAAATTGAATATTTTGGAATTTCCAGTTTATCAAAACCAGAATAACTATCACCGTCTCCTTCCTTTCACCATACTGAAACAATTATAATCCAGATAATATAATAATAAATGTATAAGTCATCCAGTAGGAAATATTTGGCACCAAAGGAAGTTGGTAGTCAGACTTCAAATGTGAATCAAATGCATAACTTTTTTTTTTCATGAAATTGGCCCACTTCACTTCCTTCCAATCAGATGACGCATGTTGGAATATCCAGTTTAATTTGTTTAATACCCAAAAAAACCCCTTCAAACTTACCATATTTAGCCATGTTGATTAAGCAAGTGATTAACATAACCCAGCCATATCACTGTCCTCCAATCAGACAACAAACCCAACTTCCGAATCCAGTGATTGACATTTAGCATTGTTCAAAATGAGGTGGGATTTAAAAAGAAGAGCAAATTATACAGATACATTACACAAGTATTAACGAGCAGGCTTTAAAGAAGATTGTATTTTGAATAATATGTAAGTATTGTTTTAATTGATCATTTTATACTGTCAGTTGTTTAGAATTGATGAAACTATCATGGCACTGATGATAGAAAATGTATTATTCAAATTAAAAAATGTGAATATACTGATATGTTGATATAGGATCCTGTAATAATGGGCACAGAAATGTGCTGCATTGATATATTGTACTACATTGACTGGGATGCAAATATTTCAATTCCCCACAGAAGAAGACATTGAGGCAGGGAGAGGAGCAATGGGAAGGGAATGTTGGGCATTATTTATTTGGATAACAGTTTTTCAAGATTACCAGAAATATAGCAACCAATATAATTATTCCTCCTACAGCCAAAACTATCATGCAGTTTAAAATGTGGGATTTTAGAGGTCATTTTTAAAGGTCTAATTTTTTATCACATTAGATTTTATTTATATATACAAATGTATACTACAGTGGCTAAAAGCATAAAACTTTACCGATAGCAAATTTAACTACTATGGTGGAATACTTACAGAATACAAGCACAATAAATCGAATGAGTCGGCAGGAACACAAAATTAGTAGAATCACTCTATTTGCCAAAACATAAAAATTTCATCAGTACAAAAATAGTCTCGAAATATAAAATATTTTTTTATACAAAACATAACAAAAGTGTCAAAGAAAGGAACAGAACAGAAACCCTAGGTCCTGTCTTTAAAATGGGACAAGCAAGGGAAATGAAGACAGAACACAATCTATTATTCTGCCGAATAACCAGTAGTGCTACGACTGCAGGGGCGGATCCAGAGATGTCCGAAAATGAGGGCCAAAAGTGAGGGCGATCGAGACAACACTACTCTAGGACCCTGGTTCTTAATTCATTTGTTTGAAGGGCCAAATTATATTTAGAGTCACAGGCCAAAAATAATCTCAGCTTATTTGAAGGCAATCGTTATAAATTTGGGAGAAACTCTTTCCGCTGATATACTGTAGATCTATTTGAAAGTTTTTTTTTTTTTTAGCAATTTTGAAATTATATTAAGGGCCTATTTTTAAATTGTACTAGGCCTACACCAGCAGTCATGAGCCCATGACCTATAATTGGGACGAGGGAAATTTATGTGTGAACGTGTCATCAGTCTAGAAGTCGTCAGTCAAAATACAAAAAAAATTTCCGCATGTACACAGTACGCATTTAGGACTAGAAAAATGTATTTAAATATGCATACAGTACTTACTGTTGTAAACACCATATGCCAACAATTCTTTCCAGATGACTAATGTAAATTGGACCTCAGTTTTCTCCAGTCAGTCGGACAATATTCTGATTCCAGAACTCAGTAATTGATAGTAGCTATCCAAAAAAAAAAAAATGAAAAATTTGGAATTTCCAGGTTACAAATATGTCTGTTCATGACTTCACCTGATTTAGCCAGATGAATTAAAGTGATTAACATAAACCTAGCCCACTTCATTTTTGTCCAATCAGACAAAAATTCTAGTGATTGACATTTTAGCATTGTGGAGAATTCCAGAAAATCAATATTGTACTACCAGTGGCAAATCCCAGAATTCAAAATTTTATTGACTATTTTTATTGTGAATTGTTCAGAATTGATTGCACTCATCACAATACTAACAAAAGCTTAAAAAAAAAATTGAATATTTTGGAATTTCCAGTTTATCAACTATCAAAACCAGAATAACTATCACCGTCTCCCTCCTTTCACCATACCGAAACAATTTTAATCCAGATAATATGATAATAAATGTATTAGCCATCCAGTAGGAAATATTTGTGGCACCAAAGGAAGTTGGTAGTCAGACTTCAAATGTGAATCAAAATGCATAACTTTTTTTTTTTTCATGAAATTGGCCCACTTCACTTCCCTCCAATCAGATGACGCATGTTGGCATTTCAAGTTTAATTTTTTTAATACCCAAAAAAAACCCTTCAAACTTACCATATTTAGCCATGTCGATTAAGCAAGTGATTAACATAACCCAGCCATATCACTGTCCTCCAATCAGACAACAAACCCAACTTCCAAATCCAGTGATTGACATTTAGCGTTGTTCAAAATGAGGTGGGATTTAAAAAGAAGAGCAAATTATACAGATACATTACACAAGTATTAACGAGCAGGCTTTAAAGAAGATTGTATTTTGAATAATATGTAAGTATTGTTTTAATTGATCATTTTATACGGTCAGTTGTTTGGAATTGATGAAACTATCATGGCACCGATGATAGAAAATGTATTATTCAAATTAAAAAATGTGAATATACTGATATGTTGATGTAGGATCCTGTAATAATGGGCACAGAAATGTGCTGCATTGATATATTGTACTACATTGATTGGGATGAAAATATTTCAATTCCCCGAAGGAGAAGACATTGAGGCAGGGAGAGGAGCAATGGGAAGGGAATGTTGGCCATTATTTATTTGGATAAAGGTTTTTCAAGATTACCAGAAATATAGCAACCAATATAATTATTCCTTCTACAGCCAAAACTCTCATGCAGTTTAAAATGTGGGATTTTAGAGGTCATTTTTAAAGGTCTAATTTTTTATCACATTAGATTTTACTTATAAATACAAAGGTATAGTACAGTGGCTAAAAGCATAAAACTTTTACCGATAGCAAATTTAACTATTAGTAGTAAAATCACTCTATTTGCCAAAACAAAAGTTTCATCAGTACAAAAATGGTCTTGAAATATAAAATATTTTTTTATACATAACATAACAAAAATGTTAAAGAAAGGAACAGAACAGAAACCATAGGTCTTGTCTTTAAAATGGGACAAGCATAGGAAATGAAGACAGAACACAATCTATTAATTTATTCTGCCGAATAACCAGTAGTGCTAAGACTGCAGGGGCGGATCCAGAGATGTCCGAAAGTGGGGGCGAAAAGTGAGGGTGATCGAGACAACACTACTCTAGGGCCCTGATTCTTAATTAATTTGTTTGAAGGGCCAAATTATATTTAGAGTTGATCTCACAGGCCAAAAATGATCTCAGCTGATTTGAAGGCAAATGTTACAAATTTGGGAGAAACTCTTTCCGCTAAGATACTGTAGATCTACTTGAAAGTTTTTTTTTAGCAATTTTGAAATTATAAGGGCCTATTTTGAAATTGTACTAGGCCTACACCACCAGTCATGGGCCCATGACCCATAATTGGGACGAGGGAAATTTATGTGTGAACGTGTCATCAGTTTAGAAGTAGTCAGTCAAAATACAAAAAAAATTTCCGCATGTACAGAGTACGCCTTTAGGACTAGAAAAATGTATTAATGAGCACTGCCTTTTGATACACCAATTTTTTATTACCCGGTAAACTAAGAATGCTATCAACGAATCACAGTGAATAGAACAAAATACAGAAATGGAACCTGGCGGCACAAAAGTCGGGGTAATGCTATGACTTGAAAGGAAGTAAATAACGAAACACAATGATCAGAACTAAACACAGAAACAGAACTTGGCAGCACATAATCTTGTAGGACTATTTGTACAAAGCACTGTTTTTTGGTTCACTAGCTTTTTATTATCATGTAGGCTTACAAATGTAACGATAAAACCCAATTGACGTATTGCAAAATAACCTTAATTTAGTTGTGTTTACCTTTATGATCTAACCATAAATCAGGACTCTGTAATCCTTAAAATGTTACTTCCTCTAGGCTGCTATGTTAAATTTAGCAGTGCTAATAAGAGTACCAATCTTAGGAGTTGTTTTATAGTTTGGTTTATAGGGTTTCATTTTAATTTTAGATCTGAGCGGGGTAACCCCTACATCATGACACATATTTGTCTTGTTTGAAGCACACATTGAAGTATATGACCACGGAAAGAACCCAGTGATTGATTTTAGTTTTGTGCTATTTATTCCATTTATGGCCTATATGTCATCTTGCTCATCAAACCACTCCTTGCACATTACCCAGGGGTTGCATTTTTTTATTTAGTTCATCAAAAATGTATTCATCAAACTTTTATTATGTTTTAAATATTTTTTTTTTATAATTTTGTTTTTCCTCACAGGCCAAATTAATTTGCCTTGAGGCCAAATTTGGCCCGCGGGCCGCTATTATGATCCAGGGCAATAGGGTGTCCAGGGGATGCCTCAGCGAAAATTTTGTTTTCTGGATGCCCTCTAAGTAGAGGGTATAAAGTAACCTCTAAGATTACAGTAGGCATTGCAGGTTAATTATGATTTACAGCATACTAATGCATTATTAATATACTGTGGGCTTTTAAATATATTGTCCCCTGAAAATTTAATGTTTTTTATGAACTTGTAAACATATGAATAAAATAGATCTTAAATCTTGAAATTTAATGTGACTAATATTGTTCTTATGTTCTTTATATATTTTTTTAATAACTTACTTTAAATTAGCAACTATATGTTTTAATTGATTTTTTAAGCGAGAATCCAGAAGAAAGCAATTTTTGATATGTTGTAGGACTAATTTTTCTAAGACACAAAACGTTTGACGAAAAACTTGAGATAAAAAGATGAGATAAAGATTATTGAATATTTTAAAACAGGGGGAAAGTTCCCAATTTCCTCATCAAACAAACTGTTTGTGTATTAGAAAAATCATTTGTACAACATATCAACATTTGTTTTTCCTCTGGAGCTTGACTTTAAGGTTTTTTTTTCAGATTGAATTGAATGCGGTTGCATTATCTACTAGCGTCAATCCGGTTTTACACTAGGCAAATTTATTCCCATTCCTGAGCACTGAATGGTTTTGTGCATTTTTTTCTCTTCGCAAAAAGTAGAAATAGTTTGAACTACTGATTTCGCAGAATCGAAAAACTGTGAATGCGCATGCACATGAACTGAAGCCTTTGATTCGCGCAAAATTAGCTTGATGTAAAACTGGCTTTAGTGAACGTATTTTGCATCACAAAATGTATGCATCTCAAACTTGCCAATTAGTTTTCAGATTCTCGTATTGAACACAGCATTTCTGTTGTACGATGGCAAACAGAGATTGGAAACTTCCAAATGAGAACGTTTTGAAACAACAGGAGGATGTTCTCTACCACATTGGCTTCACAACAAAGGACGATCTCCCGAAGCTTTTTGGGGATGTTAAGGTACGTAGGTCACTACAGAATTGTATTTAAGATAATTTTCTAAATCTCTGTCTATAATACTTTATACAGTATTTCAGCAATTTTGGAAAGCCATTCATTTTATTTATTTCTTAAATCTTCACTTCATTCATTTATTGATTTTTAATTCTGTCATAATACAATTATCAACCTATTTTTAGTTAAAAATTTTAGATTTATTTCTTTATCATCACATCATACAAATAACATAACAATTTTTCATAAAAAAAAAACCATCTTAAAATATATCAGGATTCTCAATGAAGTCTTGAATATAAGCTGGAATTGGAAATAATGCCGTTTACTCCAGTGTGGTTATTGCAATATCTTTGAAATGGGGCTGAAAGTCATCATGACAAACATTTCTTCATTTTCAGTGTATTGTGTAATATGTTGTGAATAATGTTAAATCACATGATACTAACTTTGTTATGGAGAAACACTTTACTTGTAATAAATATGGATAATATTTGTGACCCAAGATCATAAAAGGGCTGTAAGCTCATCCTCAGGCCGAAATACGTTCTTGTTATGATGGCATAGAACATATCATTTACCTTTAAACGACAGTTAAATAAACTCAATCGAGTGTGTAGAAGTAAAGTTATGACAGTTTAAATAATTATCATCTTATCAACTTTCTTAAATCAAGTTTTGAGAAAAAAATATAATATTTTCAGCAGGTTTCTATTCATTTTTCACTAACTTGCATCTGAAAATGGCTAAATTTTACCTTTTACAAGTTGGAATTTTAAACTCAAACTACTTCAGGAATAGTAAGATTTAAATAGAAATGCGTTATTTATTAAACAAAAATCCAATTCACACAAAATTCACATTCTATGGCCTATTCTGGATATTGAGGCTTGTTTCTCAATACAGCGTGGTGCGAGTTTACAACCCTTTTATGATCTTGAGTCACATTTTTCTCAAGTATGCATTGACCCCACTGTGTTGCAAAGGGTGATATGAAATGAATTTTATTTTTGACTACTTGACAATATTGTCTTTCTTTTGACATCTTTAACTATTGTCTTTCTTTTGACATCTTTAACGGGGAAGGGTGACTGGACAGGTGGGGGGACGATTTTTGAGGGAGTGCACCCACACGCCCCCTTCATATGCCACTGAAAAAAGCATCTAAATATACTGTACATTTTTATGGAAAATATTTAGGCCTATTGTTTATCTCAAGCAATAATGCAGAAAAATATAAAGTATTGAAAATAAGGAAATAAGTATGCTTGGGAAATTCCCAGTATGCTCACACACCCCTTCATACGCCACTGAAAAAAAAGACATCTAAATATACTGTATATTTTTATTCAAAATATTTAGGCCTATTGTTTATCTCAAGCAATAATGCAGAAAAATAAAAGTATTCAAAATAAGGAAATAAATATGCTTGGGAAACAAATGAGTTTGATTAACATTCAATTTCCTGTAAAATTTATTGACATTTAATTTCAGTAATGGGCCAAGCTAGAGCAATTGCCAGGCATTCCAGTAATGTTTTTATGTTTTATATTTTATCATCATCTTTCTTCGAACATGAATTTCATGTGTTATGAACCGGTGAACATATGACGAACAAAACAAATCTTAAATCTTGAATCTTGATTATGAGCCAGATTAGATGTGTATAAGAGACAGGTGCTGAGATAAATATAAGACTCAACGATAGGTCGCATGAATTAAAAAATAATCGACGGCACAAAGAACTTTCTGTAAAACATTTTGCAGAAAAAAAGTCTTTTAGAAAACATTCAGTTTCCTGTAAAATGTTATTGATAATTAATTGATTCAGTAATGCCAATCATCAGAATTGTATTGACAGACTGAGCATTGGGGCAGCGAAAGGTGGGAGAGAGAGGAGGTCAAGATCCCCTATTTATTTTTACAAAAAGACTGGTGTGCTGCCAGCAGGGGCCTCCGTCGGGGAAAAACCACAACTCGTAGGGGAGAATAAAAAATACATGTATTTTATATGTATTATAAAATCCAAAATCGATTAAGTAAGCCTTTAAAACCCCAAAATTATTTTTCGGGGGCTTCTCCCTGTACACGTTTGAGTGATGCCTGACCACGCCTACTTTTTTCATTGGGGATATTGGTCCCCCGCCAGGGACATCTGACCCCCCTGTCGAGCAAATCCTGGCGCCAAATATGCATAAAGATGTTTTGGCCCGCAGTTAACTGACCCACCTTTATAATAGAACTGAAAGGATAAGAAATAATTACATAAATGTTTTGGGAATTTCCCAATATGACAAAGTGGCCTTATGTTCTGGTAGACATATGTTCAACAAAATCTTTAAATTTCCTGTACTGTATGGGAAAAGTGATTCTATGTTATCTATGTTAATGATGTTCAAGGTAACCAATTCCATTGTTAAACAAAATGTACAGTGATTTTGTTTCCACATTGTCTATTCTACAGGTCGATCTGTGAGTTTCAAGATTGCAATAGGCCTACTATAATAATAATATTATTATTATTATTATTATTATTATTATTATTATTGTTATTATTATTGTTGTTATTATGTTAATAAAACCTACCTTTAAAGGAAACTTAGACAATGGAGAAATTAGAGAACAATTAAAAAAACAACGTTAAGAGGAAAATTACATGACGTTAAGGGGAAAATTACATGACGTTAAGGGGAAAATTACATGACGTTAAGGGGAAAATAACACAAACGACATTTTATTTAAGTCCGATTAAGAGAAATTATTATTACTGTTATTATCATTATTATTACTTTGTTACCTATGTTATTTGGCAGGGGTCCCAAGTGTCCTGGAACAAGCGGGAGCCTCCCGCAAACTGGGACGACCTCCCGCAAGCAATCAAGAATCAGTGCCTGGGTATCACTAAACATTTTAAGAAAGTTGATAGCCACTGCAGATCTGTGTAGGATTCAAAGAGACGAGGGAGAGCCAGCCCGGGCCCCTAAATCTTTCAAAATTACAAAAAAAAAGTGGGAAAAAAGTAAAATTATATTCTAAAATTTAAGTCTGAGCAAGTCAATTCAACAACTGCATTGGTCTGAGAGTGTCGTTTCTGGCCCTCTAGAGGTGCCATTATCATAAATTTTTCATATCCCAGCCCCAACCACGGTGAGATTGAGGTGTACCCTACATCTGTGAAAGTCCCTCTCTGCCTGTGCCTCTATTTTGGATTCTTGGATCAACAATTGCAGATCTCCCGGAAATGAATTCTTTTAATTTGGGACCCATGTTTATGTTCAAGTTTTTACTCTGATTCTATTTTCAAAGTCAATGTACAGTGATTTCCACATTGTTTATTCTGCAGGTTGATCTGTGAGTCTTCAATATTTTTTTGAAAATTTAAAGTTTCTTTTGTTTTACTAGTTTGTGTGCATGGGAGGTAGTGCAGGCAGGATGCACCAGTTTGCGAAGTTCATGCAGATGGAACTCAACAAGAATGGTGATCTACAAGACTTGTGCAGCACCGATCGGTTCTCCATGTACAAAGTGGGTCCAGTGCTGGCCGTCAATGTAAGTACATTCGCTGATCCAAGGAGGTTCAGTAGGTTTGGATGAACCCCACTCTGATGAAAAGTAAACAAAAATATTTGGTCCTGCTAGAAACAAGGCATGCTAACCTACAATACCTATGCCAGTTTTGTTGATCGGATAGGTTAAGGCTTATCCTACTTACCTTCAGTTAAGTAATATTAAAAACACTATTTTTTGTTCTACCATGGTTTGGCGTCGTAAACATTCAAGTTATTTTTGTACGAAAGTGCGTTCTTCAGATCAAGGCAAAATCTTACTTCTGGGGATCTTTGAAATGAAATAATATACTTTCGATGTCTTTTTTGATATGTTTTTTTTTCTGTATGTATACAAACATAAGGCCAATTTACTATAACTTTCAAGAGAGGAAAACCTTGAATATTAAAGAATTAAAAGTAACAGATCCCTCAGAAGTCAGTATGCTATTTTCCACCCATCTAAGAATAAAAATGCTTCAAATCCTGGAACCGCCCAAAAACAATAGAACAGCAGTTCTATTTAACAGATATCTGTAATTTAACCATATAAGGTTATGATGTGCCATGATCAGGCCCATATAATGATTTTGATTGGCAGGAAAAGCTGAAGTACCCTCTTGCATCATGAAAGTTTAAACTTTTAAAGTCCATCACCAATTTCAGGTTTAACTTCCCTCAAGTCAGTGATAAACATGATGATTAAAAACTACTTTTGTCATGCTTATCACTAACTTCCCGCAAGTCAGTGATAAGTATGAACATTTTTTTTAATATAACCTTCCTTTTTATCGTTGGTTTTAAGTAGTCACAATATAGTTCATGATTGCTATTGTAACTATTTTTAAACATATCATCAATTGATAGAATTTATCAAAGGACTTTTTAGAAATACTCAATGCATCAACAATGCTAATGTAATGATAGTGTACTTCCGCATACCTAACGAATATAACCATAGGCTGCCACTGGTAAAGTGAACATACTGTAGCTGTTATCAGGTTTGTTATCAGCCTCAAGTGCCACTTACCCATAGCATGAGTAGCAGATAGAGAGGGGGTGTCAACAACTGCCAGAATGTCCTATTGACGTGTTGATGGGTCCCAAGTTAGAAGAACCCATTTCCGGGAGATTCGTTTGATGACATTAGGGGTGCTATATATTCTATGAGGAAAAAGTGTAGGTACCAAACGAAGGACCTCGCCCATCATGATAGGGACTGCCCGGAAATGGCACTGTCAGACTGCAAAGAATAATCGTTAGCCAAAGTTTAGACCTAAATAAAACAAAAAGATTTGTTTTTTACTGAATTTGCTGAAGATTTAAGTGAATTTCTGGGAGATTTTTGCTGTTTGCGGGAGTGCGGGAGACCATACCGTTTTCCAGGAGACTCCCAGGAGTTCCGGGGGACTTGGGACCCCTGTGTTGAATAGCAGAAATGTGGAGGGGGTGTCAACAATTTCCAGAATGTCCTATTGATACGTGATAAGAGCAGATATGGGGAGGAGTGTCAATAATTTCCAGAAAGTCCTATTGATACATGATAAGTAGCAGATATGGGGAGGGGTGTCAACAACTTCCAGAATGTCCTATTGATATGCCAACAACTTACGGAATTTGCGTAGCGTATTTGTGGAGATATGTCATGAAGAACCTCTAGAATGTACAAGAGGCTATGACAACCTCTGGAATGTCCAAGAGTATTGTAGCAGATATGGTAAGAGGTTATCAACAACCTCTAGAATTTTTGAGTAGTATAAGGGGAGGGATATCAACTACTTCAGGAATTCTGTAATGTCCTAGTAAAAGGAGCAGCATATATGTGAGGGAGCTGTAGGGAATTTGCATAATATTAATATTAATATTATTATTTCCGCCAGGAGATATATGTTTTCTGTCATGTAAATGTGTGTGTGTGTGTGTATGTCACGTTATGGTGTTTTCGTGTGTGTGTTGTGTTCACAATATCTAAAAAACCGCTACACATATTTAAATGAAAGTTACGGAGAGTGTTATGTACGAGCCAAAGGATCAGGTGATTGATGAAAGTGTAGTGATGATCCAAAGTAAGGTGTGGATATGAGGACCGTTCAAAAGAAAATTTCCCAGAAAGATATTTCAAAAACTAATCAACTGATTTTAATGAAACTTTGATGACTAAGTCACAAGGTAAAAAGTTTTATCATCGTCATTGTTGTTGTCCCCACAGTTGCCATCATCACTATTCATTATTAATGATAATTATTTATTTATTGTTATTTATTAAAAAATTATATAAGGTGCATATAAATACTGTACTATAGAAATGGTTTTACCTGTGATTTACTAAATGATGATATATTAGATCCATTTTTTAGTGTTTTAAGCCCTTTTAAAACAATCAAACATGTGACATGCCTAAAAATATGGTCATGATGACATCACATCATGACCATATATAGACACATCATGACTATATATGGGCGTACAGCAAAGATACTAGAAATACAAGATAGAGTTCTCGCATTGTAA